TATGCCTATAAAACGCATGTGGTTAGCAAAGGCAGGGTGGTTAAATACAGTAGGGCTGAGCTGAGCAGTGACTTCGTTCCAGTGAAGTGCTCTTGAAAAAAGCCAGTCTGCTAAGTGTTGTAGGCAATTTACGCCGTCTGACTCAAATCACGTCTCATGATGGCACCGCGCCTCGTGACCGCAGGGCAACACCAACGTTTTAACCTCTGTGCCGTGGTCGCCCATCCAACTGCTGATCTCCACCCTCACAGAGCGACAGTTGAAAGGCTGCAGAGTCTCTTAAGCAAACAGTGATGGCTAAGCACTCTGATGAGCACCTGTAAGATCTGGGGGTCATATATCAATTAAAGTGGCTCAAAAGAAGCATATGCTGTGATACTTTTGGAAGAACAACTGCAGCAGCTGTAGGATAGTATTCATTTTTATCTAATTGGGGAATTGAGTAATCTGTAAGTACAGCACTAACCGGTTGGTTGCTGTAAGTACGTATAATTTACAAACCAGGCATAAGATTAAGCTATTAATGCTGGTTATCTACTTACGACACCTGTTAGCAGGTGGTACATATAAGCCAGATTGGACATCTTTTTTCTCAAAGTTGATAAGTTTTAAAAAGCAGGGAAGATGGACAATTCTAAGGACTACAGAAGAATCAACAAATCTAAATTGTGAGGTTTTGACTACAGGGGTCAGTATTTATCAAAATTTGTCAAAAGAGGGAACAAAGTTTAACCAAAGTAGCTCATATTACTGAAGAGGTTATATGTCCAAAGACATATGATGTTTCCCAATCTAAAAATGTGAAACATTGAGGATTCACCCAAATATTCCTCCATTTTTTATTCATTATTATTTAGGTTTCTGTAAGTCAGTCCAATTTAAACAAAGATTATCACCAGTGTGAGCAGTAGAATATTTCACTCCTTAGCTCTAACCAGCTTTTATGACCATTCAGCCAGGTGAAAAAAACAGGTGGTTATAGGAATACCGGAAAACAAAGAACACAACCTAAGAGCCAATCATCTGACCGCAAAGAAAAAAAAAATACTCAAAAAGATTTAACTTTAAATAAAGGACAAAAAAAATTATTCTATGTTACAAATTTTATTTAATTGGTTTTAAGAAAAATATTTTTTTACTTTGCAAAACAAGTTCACATGAAGAAAGCAATAGAAATCTGGAGAAAAAAATATTTTATTGGACCCCTGGGTTAAGCAGCTTTTTAAAAGTCCCAGAGATCCAATAACATCTTCCAACATGTTGCAAAATAAGTTAATTTTTATTTAAGTGTGTAAGCTTTTTTTTGTTGTTTTTTTTAGGAGAGGCAATTTATTAGTACAGTTGAGCTTTAAAACCACATATCTGACTGCTTCTTTCTTTTTCTTGTAAGTTGTGAGGACATTTGATGAAAGTAGAGTTCCCACTAGTAGTTGTTTTTCAAATTAGTTATTCTTAAGGAATCAGATTTGGACCTTCGAAGATTAAGTCAAGTGTAGGGGTGTGGGCAAAAATCGATTAGGCGATATTTTATGATTTTTGGCTTGCGATATAATATCGATCTTTCAGGTACTAATATCGATTTAAAAAAACAAAACATTTAAACTTAAAACAATGACGGAAAAGAGGCTATCTCTGTACCACCACTCTGGTAGATGGCACTGTTGAGACCCTTTGCTGTGCAGCGCAGAGCCATATCTGTAGTTGAGGCAGTCATGACTCAAACCCCAAACATCATGGATGCCAAAATAACTAACTACCTTTTCTATACATTTAATTTGATAGCTGGGAAAAACATCACAGTACATAGTGATATTCTAATATCATGATAATAATTGTATTGTAACCGAAATATCGTGACACGTATAGAATCTTAACACCAATGCAAATACTCACCCCTAATCTAGTAAGCCCTGCATTAGAACAAACACATTTTAGTTTTTAAACTTAAAAACAGCAGTTGAAGGACTGGGTTTCAATTTGTATTGTTTTGTATTGGATGGATATCATATTCTACTCTAATAGGGAGTCATATGAGACAAAATTCCCCTCTTTCAGATACTCTTCTAATTGGCATGCTTTGAGTTTTCTACCGAACAAAAGTACTGGGCACAGAGAGGAAAGAAAAATCAGACTGAAGAAAGTGGAGGGAAAGAGGGAGAACTTTCCAGCAAATAAAAATATCATCCATTTCCAGAAAGTGGCCTTAATCCCCTCCTAACTCTATTACATGTGGGACACTTTTGCTGAAAAGGTGCAGATGAGCTAAACAACAGACAGAGAAAGCCCATCCCCAAGCAGCAGCTCGTTGTTGGGATACTTTAACTCAATTATCAATAAACACAAAAAAGGTCTGCTGAATGCATTTTGTGTGGAGAAATAATTTTAATTTCAGCTATGGGTCCAGGCTGAAACTGGGCCACTGCAAGCTTTGATGTCTTAATTGTGTGTGCATGTGTGTATGTGATGCTAATACCAAGGAGGCTTATTGATGGAACACCAGAGACGGAGCAGAAAAAAGCCAAAAAATGTAAGATATGAAAAAGAAGGGAGAAAGGCAAACAGGAGAAAGGAGCACAGTCGGAGAGAGAAAACCAGAAAAAAGGATAAAAAGAGACAATGAAAACCACTGGGAGAAAAAGTGACACAGATGCTTCATTAATAAAAGCAAGAGTGACAGAGCTGAAGGTGGTGTGTTGAATAGGCCTTGATTAAGTGTGCAACAGGGTCAAAGCTGGGCCTCTGTGGAATATTGGATAATAGTGTTTGAGAAAACAACGGTGGTCGTCGCTAAATCTTCTTTGTCTTGTTTCTCAGGCTTTAGTTAAATCCCAAACTAGCTAAAGACAAACAGTCATTTAATGTCTGGATAAAAATCGGCCTCTTTTTCCTCATCATTTACTAACTTCTTCAACATTTTCCTTTTTAGAAGCACAAATGTTTAACCGAAAATGTATAGAAGGAGACGGTTTTGAAACCGAAATGCATTTTTACATTTCCTGTATAAATAATTATAAAAGTGGTGTTTGAAATACGTTGATCTGAGTCTTACCTTTGAAATACAAGTGGAATAGTTAAGGTATTTTACAAAAAAAAATATTTTAAACTTAAGGAATATTTCTTTGAACTTTCAAGGAAGCTGAACTATATATGAGCTACATCATGAGTAGCTATAAAATCTTAAATATTTGCATGATTAAACCAGATAGTCACTCAAAGCAAATACAATTAAATTGAAATACGCTTTGAAATCTATGAAACTTTTATCATACTTAAAAAAAAATCACATTTTTCAAGCAAGTCTGACATTAGTTCCTTTGACACCAAGAGTTCTAAAAACCAAAATAAATAACAAATTCCTCACTTTAATATTCATGACTTCCTAACTAAAACAATTGCACATTTCCTTCTTTCCCTTTTTAAACATAAATTTCACCTTAAAATTAAGGAATTCTAACTCACCAATAGGTGCAATATAGTGCAACTGTTGATATTGATTGTGCCAAACTGTATTTAAAGGCCCATATCTATCCTTCTCAGTAATGTAGATAACAGCACATAGCTTTATATATGTTGTTTTCCAAGCTCCATGTTTAGCTGGTTCCCTGTGTCTCAGTGATTAAATGTGACTAAAGATGACAGTAAAAAAAAAATACATTTTGTGCCACTGTTCTTCTAATGGTAAAAAGTTAGTTTAAACTTTAAGTGTAGAAGCTATAAAGACGTCTATCTTTGCTTGTAAATGAAGGGTCAACGTTCCCTAAATGTTTTAGTCACACTTATGTCATACTGAACTCTAAAGACAACCAATCATTTTACAAAAGGGGAAGGCAAGGTTTACAGAAGGCAATAACCAGATGAGCTTATTTGATGAAGTGGTTTTGGGTCACTGGTGTGGTCACCTCCAGAAACATTAAATATAGACGCCTCGTAAAAACAGTAAAAAAAATGAAAAAGTACTCCTGGTTTGCTCTCATCATCAGACCCTTTCCAACAAGTCTGTTATAATACTGCTTCCAAACCTGTTCCAAAATGCTATCTAGTTATTTTCATTTCCAAAAAAGCCCCATCCAGAGCACAGATCTGTTATATAAAATGCATGGCGTAGGCTTATATCATAAAGAAAAGCCGGTTTCTAACAGTGTTTGAGGCATTTACGCCTGTCGGGCAATTTTTACTTCTTTACATAAAGAGAAACTGAAATGAGCTATATTACAAACAACATTAATTAGCGTTCGTGGTAATGAAGGCAAACACAATTAGAGAGTCATGTTACCCATTAACTGTAAATGAGAGAAACATTTCTTCTGGGGCTGCACAGCTATAATAAATGATGGACTGGCGATAATATAAATCATTAAGGTGCTTTCATCATTCTCTCTAGCATTTAGAGCACTGTGGCCTGTGTCAGCCGTGGCCATCACATGCAGTGAGACTCTACCTGCAGTTTCAGCCGCAAACCTTCTAAATGATTCAACCAGCTTTAGAATGCCTGAACATCAGATTCATAGTTGGATTTAGGTTTGGGTGTTGATTGGACCATTTAAACACATGGATATGTTTTTATTTGCACCATTTAATTCAAGTTCTGAGAATGCTGCCTCACTGTATAGGGAAGCTTTTATGTTAGCTTCCAGGATTTCTCTGTATTTAGCTCCAACCTCATTATAAAAATATTGTTTTTTTGTGTGTAATAAAGTCAAAATATGGGTAAATAAAATACAGAATAATGAGGATGATGTAAAGGCAACTGGGGTAATATTTTTTATTTCAAGAAATTAAATAAAAGCAGGTTTTTTGAACAGCTGGTGTACATATTCAAACCAGATGTAGAAAATCTCTTATTATTTTCTTTCATTTTTATAGTTATCCCCTACTTAGTGTTGGTTTAACCTAATATATAAAACAATACCAATTAAATTACATTTGTGTTTGATTTCACAATGCAACAAAATATGGCAAAGTGTATGAAAACAAAAAAAGTTTGGTTTTTTTCTGCTCACCTGAGGGCTGATGCTGGGGCCGTAGCCCATGCCAGGCGAGTTCATGGAGTGCGGCCCCATGTGTGAGCTAATGACTGAGAAGGGTGAGGTGAGGCCATTCATTGGTGAGCTCAGGGTGCTGATTGGAGAATGGAGAGAGCCAGAGGGCCCCATGGAGGTGGGACTCAGCAGAGAAGGGTGCATTCCACGATGGGAAGTAGGCGAGCCTAAAGGCGAGGAGGTCACCTGTCCTGAAGAATCTGGTCGGGGAAAAAAAAGGGTTTTATTAAGTAAGATCACAGACTTGACACCAATTTTGTTTCGCAGCTTAATGAGTTCTGAAACTCCATAAATGTATATTTTCCTATAAATCCTTAATGATCTGTTTTCATGAGCACAACCAGAAGATAATTACAGCTTTTCTTGACCACAGCTGTTGGCATCCAGAGTCTGGCACATCTGGGAAAGTGTGAAAGCAGGTGTCAAATCTGGGCGCTATCCAGGAAAAACTGACAATTTAGCAAAAACACCTCAAACTATTTCATCAGGATTAGTTCATAGAGGAAAAAGTGCTCAAACTAACACGAGGGCCAAGTGGGAATTAGCTATGTCTACACAGTGGCTCTGCAGCTCTTTCTGGTTCTGTCCCTCAAACTTCAAAAGTGCCTCCCTCAGGACTGCAGGAGGTCAGCATGCAGAACAAACCTACTGTATAATGCATGTGGCCGATGAGTGGGGTAGTAGACCTGAGAGGAGGGGAAAAACATGACCTTGCAGCTGAGCCCAGGAGAAAACCTGCAGCTGGTTTGTAGTCAGAGACGGAGATAAAGCTATGGTCTTGTATGCAAGAGCTCATCTGACTTCAAAACCTATTCTTTACCTTGACTTAGAAGGTTGTTTAATACTCAGCTGTCAACAAAGAGATCTAAGACAAACATGAATGCCAGCAAAGACATAGTGATATTGAAACTTTTGGAACAGGATTTGTTTATATTTTGATAAAAACTTCTTCCCTGTTTGACTCATATTTCAGTGCTGCTGTTCGCTCTCCATCTCTTTCTCCATCCATAATTTCTGCCTCCATGTTTTACATACATTTTTCTAAAATGAATATCCTTCTTGTTGATAAACCAATAGAAAAGAAGTATTACTTTGTAGTCCTTTTTACATTTTTAGGTGTAAAAACAACAACCACAATATTAACAATAAATAAATTGATATACTTTAGAAAAACTTCAGAAAGCTCTGAGATCTCCAACTAGGATAGATTTTCTTATGTTTAACATTTTATCAGATAATATAATGATATACAAAACACAATTGCCTTGCAGCAAGAAGTTTCTGGGTTTGATTCCCGGCCCGGGGTCTTTCTGCATGGAGTTTGCATGTTCCCGCCGTGCAAGCGTGGGTTCTCTCTGGGTACTCTGGCTTCCTCCCACATTCCAAAAACATGACTGTTGGGTTAACTGGCTTCTCTAAATTGTCCTTAGGTGTGAGTGTGTGTCTGAATGGTTGTGTTTCTCTGTGTTGCCCTGCTACAGACTGGCGACTTGTCCAGGGTGTACAACACCTCTCGCCCGTAGGATGCTGGAGATAGGCACCGGCACCACCGCAACCCTAACAGAACTAAATGGGAGAAGATGGATGGAAGGATGGATAAACTGCCCTAATTCAGACCCAGGTAAAGCCGGGCTTATACTGTGCGATTTTCCAGTCGTGTGAGAATCTTTCAATCGGGCCGACTTTCAGCCTGATCGTGCGTCGTAAGTAGTGTAGTGTACAGGGGGTTATGAGGGGTGATCAGCCTCTCACAACCACCTCCCGATCAGGAATCGTGAGGTCGGGAGAAAATCAAACATGTTTGATTTTCGTCGTGGGCAAATTGCTCAGTGCGCAAACAAGGATTCTTCTGTTAACACAGCAGCATGGCAGGGATGCTATGAGTGAAATGCAGTTCTGTCTGTAAAACTGACAGACCGTATTAGCCACATTTGCTCAGCCATGTTTTTTTTCCAAATACGTTGTCACCTTTTCTTTTTAGGGCTTTCAGCAAAAAAATTGCACAAATTGCCAAGGTAGTACATTTCACTATAATGAGCTTTATATTCCCCTTTTATTTGTTTGGCTTCCGGATAGACGAGTCAGAGCAGCTCGATCTCACTGAGGAGCTGAATCAGCTTTTTAGCCATCGGTGTGAGCAGATAGATCGCATCAGAGCGTCGGGCCGAACATAAATTGAGAACTGTGAGCTAACACTGTACGACTAAACCGCAGGGTTTAGTCGTACAGTGTGAGCAGTAGCTGCGTGCAACGACTGAAAAAAATCTCACAGTGTACGCCCGGCTTAAGATGCCTAAACCAAACATATCAGGCAAGACAGGAATTGACAGAAGCTCACAAGACCCCTCAAAATAATCTAAAATCAATAATTTTTGGTAGAATTCTTAATAACCATTGAACATAGGTACTTCAAAAAGCTGCAGTCAGTGTTATAATGTTTAGCTTCTCCAGATCACTCAGGAGAATTAAACCAGCTGGATACCAAAGTGAATTAAATCCCGGCACAGCAGGGCTTCTATAGAAATTTAAATGTTTGTCTCTGCAAAATTTAGACATGTCGGTTGTCCGTAAAAGAAAATAAAAAAAGGGAATCTGCAGTATCCAGTATCCCTCAGCTCCTGCATAAGTATTTTACAGAAAAAAAAAACATTCATTTTAATGAGTACATCAACAAGGGTAAAAATCACAACAAATTGGGTCTTTAAACTAAAGATTAAAGCACCACAAACTCCCATATATCTGATTACTTCTTTATTTTCTTTAGAATACGCCCACCCACATAACCCCCCCAAAAAAGATAAATAACTGAACCAGTAATTCCCACAGCTGTTCTTCAAATTGGGTTTTAATTCAGGCAGATAAAGCGAGCTGTGGTATTAAGGCTGCCAATCCGCCATTGTAGGGCTCAGCAGGAGGTCGGTTGTGTGTGTGTGTGTGTGTGTCCAGGGGAGTGGGAGGGCTTAGCTGACGGCAAGGCTCCACCTGGAGGGGGGAATGACAGACAAGCTGAGAGGTAATGACGCCTGCTTATGTCTCTCTTTCTCCCATTTATCCTTTATGTCTGTCCATTCTGTTATTCATTGATTAAAGGAGAACTTCTCTGTTTAGAGTGACACTCTGTTGCAGTGTGGTGCAACATGATGTGGACCGTCTAGTTTTGTAAGCTCACTGAAAAAAAAAAAAAAAAGCTTTCCCCTTGCAAAATGAGCCTGCCTATACTTGTGTGTCTTTGCGTTTGTTCTTGTTGGAAATGGCTGAACAGTGTGGGATTATAGCTGGATACAAAGGACTCCGTCTTAATCCAAGGGATTCTACACCATTTTTTCTCTCTCTGCTTTTCATCATAACCTGCAGAACTTAACAACCGTCTCTAGAACCCAAAATCTCTGTCGGAGGTTTGCTCAATTTTGCAAGCAGTAAAAAATAAACAAGCTTTGAAAGATTAGATAAGAGTTAGAATTATTGAGCAACAGCAGGGCAGATAAACGTTGGGGGGAGGGCGGCAGGTCCAAAAAGTGTCACCACAGAATAAAGCTGACTCAGGGTTAAATAGCTGAAAAAGTCTTTTTTTTTGTCGCCTTGAGCCGCTGCCTGTCAATTGCTCAACATCACTGGGCACATAAAAGCACCAGTGACAGCTACAAATAAGCAAATTAGGCCCCAATCTTCCTGGCAGGCGAAGACAAGAGCTCCCCTACTTATCGGCTCTCTACTTCATTCAAGCATCTCCCGTTTCTAAACAATGGCTCCCTCCCTCTTGCCTTCCTTGCTCTTTTGTTCTGTTCTAGGATGTGATTACATGGAGGAAAACTGCCAATTCAAGCTCTTGCTCTTGCAGGCTTGGGTGTTTAGAATGTGATAAATGGATAATGCAGATGAGAGCAGATAGTAAGATGATAAAGAAACAGCCTTCTACGTACAAACAGAAGCGTGTGGCATTTCTTACTACACAGGAAACAACCTGTTTATATTGTTCGGCTACAGTAAAACTGATGAAACAGTGATTAATGACGACTTGCAGGAAAAATGACACTTGTGCAAAAACTGGGTTGTGGATAGTGCAAATCGTTAGTCACCATTGCCAAACAAGAGCTAGATTTGTGATATATTGTTCTATGGACTTTAGATGTAAGAAAGCAACAATATATTTCAGCCTTCTTTACTTTGATACCGCTAAATAAAACACACATTGCTTAATTTGATCTCTGTATAAAAGGACTACTTGTTATACAATATTAGAATGAGCAGTATAATGAAGCTTGGAAACACAGGTGGGTCAGGTGTAAAGAGGGTCATAGGAAGGTCAGCTAATAAGCATCTATTAAACATCTCCCAGAGCACCGTTCCTTTAATCGTCTAACAATGAAGAGAGTATGGCATAACTGCAAACCAACCAAGAAATGGTAAACCAACTAGTCCCACTGGCTCAACAAAGCTCGGTCTCAGAGAATTAGAACCCATTCATAGTGTTAAGAGAAGGAGGAGGCAAGTGGCCGGTGGTAACACTGGAGGAGCTGTAATTTTCTAAAGCTCAACTGGGGGAACTTGCTAACGAACCCAATGAATCAGGCCTTTATTAAAAAGCACATAATTGAAAGCCACAAATGAAAATAATAGGAAAAGTTCAATGTAGAGGTTTTCAAAAGCCATATAGGGTAAAAACTGGGGTTGGATTAGATCAAGGTGCTCTGGTCTGATTACTAGGTTGGACCCATTTAACATGGATGCGCTTGATGTCGCATCCGCTGAACAGTGTTAACCTGACTCCGCCAGATGGATTTGCTCCGCATATCCATCTGGAACCCTTCCGTTGAAGTAATTTTGGGAAGGGGCGAAAATACTGGTTAGCTGATTGGCCTATGTTGGTGATAGACGGGCCAAATAAACCAATCAGATCAACTAAGCATATGACGTAACAGAGCGACAACGAAGAGGAGCCAATTGATAGATCAAACTCTTGCCGAAACCAGACGGGAGAAGAGCAAAAACATCTTTTCCTCTGAGAAAAGCCTCCAGAGCAGTGTTTTGCTCTTCTTTCAATGAAGAAATACAGTGTAATTCCGATCAAACTTGCTCGATAGCCATGCTAACGCTAGTTTCATCGGCTGAAGCCGCCATGTTCTTTAGACTGAACTGTCGCGCTTCTTGTTGCTTCACACCTCAACCCGCCTCAAAGCCAACGCTGATTGGACGTTCGTTT